GAGATTGCGTAAGGGCTAAGTGAGCACCGCTTTCGACGGAAGGCTTTTGGAGGAGAGGGCAAGCCGCATGCAACGTCACAGCCCAGTGATGAATGGTGGTGATAACGAACTCCCTGAAGCAGCGGGTACAGTACAGCGCAACTGAAGCTGTTTTCCGAAGGCAGCTGTTTTGGAAACAAAAGCATATGGACCTGGCTGGGACAGCATCAGCAAAGCACTTGTTTTCCACGTACATGAGGCCCTAGCTCTATCTAGAAAAGGGACCTGATTGCACAAAAAGTGGAAAGCTGGGGATCTATGGGGAGATTTTCCCTTGACTAGATTTTTTTTCTTACTTGAAAATAGCTTCAGGTTCCTCAAAACTAACATGAATGGTTTCAGTCCAGAAACTGAGGCATCCTACCTAATTAGAGAGGATTTTCTATTGCCACAATTTATGCATGTGTGGAATGGCCCTTTGGCTTTCTAAACATTTTCTCATATCTCATGTGTTTCACTTTCTTGTCCAATGCAACATGTGTTTTTATCTCTCCTATTCTCCCTTTTGAAGAAACAGTTTCCTGTAAAATTTCTGGAGACTATATTGTACAATTCTTGTCTCTCAGATTTTGATCTGTAGAATCTACAAGACATGGCATCCAATTTTCAGTTAAGTTTTATTATTAATTACTGTGTTTTTCCTGACATGTGTTCCAAACAAGCCTTAGGTCATTAACTTGTCTATGCTGCTACATACTTCCTCCATTTCAAAATAATTCAAAGTTCTAGCGTTGTCCTAAATCAACTTGTTTAAGCTTGCTATAGAAGAATATATTAACATCTAGAGCACCAAATTAGTCTTATGAGATTCTTTATGAAATATATTTTCGTTCTATGTGTATTTGGTGTTGGAGATCTTTGCACAATTTTCTATAGAGTTGGTCAAACTTAAACGTGTTTACTTATGACAAACGTAGAGCTTTAATTATTTTGGAAAAGAGGAAGTAGTAGTTTTTACTGGATATAGAATTGGAATTCAAAAGTGTGTAGGTAATATTTCATTTACATTTTGCTTTATTGAAATAAATTGCTACAAAACGTATTACTTCCAAGAAAATAAAGATGCGTTAGCAGGTAGTGCAAGGATGCGGGAATCAACCTATGAGCTATTTTCAGTAGTGCATTCCCCTTTGATCTAAAAATATACAATAGTATTGCATTCTCCATTAACTTGCAGTACTATTATGTTCAATTTATTAGAAAAAATTGGTACTTCATGAAAGGCAAGAACTCAAAAGGAGACCGAAAGAAGCGTGGAGCTTGTAAAGCAAAGCAAAACCAAAAGGGAAAGGGCTTATTATGTTAATGACGGGAAAAGGAGGAACCTTATGCTTATGATGCTAGCTACCTAGCCACTACTTGCTTGTTTTAACCGGAATAAACAATGGTCACTTACTCAAGATAGACAACGGTTTTAGTGGTGCTCCCACTTTTGTACCATACAAGTAGCTTTAGACCTGGTCTGAAATGTCTCATTTGTCTGGTAAATTTCAGAATAGCAGTAAAAAATATATGAATGGAGCAGCCTCTCATTAGAATCTACATCCAGGAGGAACCGAACACCTGTGTGGCCATGCCTCGCTTAAGGCCTCCTTCATCGACAGGATTCTTAAAACGCAAGAACATAGTGTCATGCGATCTCTAGGATTATGGATGTTTGACTGTGCACGCAGGAAAAATATAAGATTATTCACAAGAGGTTGGGGTAGACGTAAATATTCCTACAAAATATAGTAGTGCAGATAAATCTAAGAAAAGACCCCTACCCACTGTAATCATATACAAACAAATTAAACACTCCACACAGAGCAAGTTCCAAGGTTTAGACCCTCTCAGATTGTCTTTGGAAAAGCCTTTGAATCAAAGAGAGACCCTATACCCTTGCTTAATTTACCTCAGCACACATCCAACTGGAAATGCAATTTGTCAGGACAACGTACGAAGTACTTATATATTGAACAAATTAAGCAAAGTTTTTTCTTTATGCTCACCTTATTTCTGTCTTTCGAGCGTTTGATGGAAAACCTTTAATGTCGTCCAGTACCAGGGGAATAAGATCCGTGAACGGATTACGGATATGTACCGGCCAGTGCCTGGCCACCGATCTTTCCTGTGGTTTGCCAAATGCCAAATTGCCAATTGCCGGAGGAATAATTAAAGTTGCTCTGCGCGTAGGAGAGGGAAGGGGTATATATTTCTTGGTGCTTGCCTGCCACCTTTCCTTCATGGTGTTTGCTGAAGCACCCGTGGCCCCCATTTGATCTCACAATAATGGCAATCTTTAGGGCAGGGCCTTTTTGGGTTGTGCCAAAAGGATTCTGGCAAGGTGCTAAATCTCCCCTCGCTGTCTGTCCATGATGATCCTTTTTTAATCAGTCTGTATGGATTATCTGAGCTACTAGGTGAAGTGATGTTCATATCACATGTAGCTGGGTGGTTCATACGTATGCATGAGAAAGGCTTAATTTTGCGAGGCAGGCTTCTGTGAGCCTTTTTAACTCTTTTTTCTTAGAGACCAAGCTTGCATCTTTTTCAGTTCAAGATAAAATAAAATTCCAATTTTTAGTTTTAGTAATTTTGAGAAATACCTAATACAACTCGTGAATGCATATGTAGTTACGTACCATATACACGGACCCGCACAAAGAAACACACAGCTACACAGCATCTACTAGGGGTTGGATTTGCAGAGCTCGAGGATCGGTGAAGTCGATAGAAACATGTTGATACCAACGAATACATCATTTACCGCCTTGGTAATATGGAACATGAGATTAATGTTCTCGGAGGGGCAATCAGCAAACCAAAAAAGGCAGTGGGAGACAATCTTACTTACAAAATTTGAAGGAAAAAAAGAGGTCCAGGACGCATTCTTTTATGTTACACCTTGAGCTCTCCCTTTTGTTGTTGTTGTTGTTGTTGTTACGAAAACTCCTTGAGCATTTAATGACGCTTCAAGATATTCTTGTACTCAAACCAGACAGATCACTACCGGTTAGGTTAATGCAAACAAGAATTACAGCATGCAAGACATCATTTTTCCATTAACTCAGGGCCTGGAAGCTGCCATGAATCCACGACCTCCGACCTCTAGTGCCGACCACCGAAGCTCCAAACCAGCTCGATGAGCCCACCATCTTTACGACAGCAAATTAAAAACGGGAGCACAGCAAGGTTGAAGATCCACTTGCTCCGCCGCTCTACCAGTCAGTCAGCGACATGCGTGAGCGTGACCAAAGCTTTAAATCATTCATTCGCGGCCGGCCCTTTACATAAATTTTCTAGACCACCACGTTTGTCTCCGCTCTGCTCACATCACCCCTGCCCCTGTGGACGGAAATGGAATGTGGCGTGGGGTGGGGGCGCGCCCGGCGGCTCACGGGTTCGTGGAGCTGGGCAGGCAGTCTTCCCTTGCGGTTGTTTTCGTTTGGTGTTCTGCTTTGGTGACACCATCATAACGCAGGAGATTGGCCGATCGGGCGCGCACTACCTCCCGACGCAACGGACCACTGCCGTCTCCCCGTCGTGCCTGCCCGTCACCCAACGCCCGGGCAGGCAGTGGATTATGGTCTGCGTCTTGGGCGGGCGCTCGCAGCTGAGCCGCAGCGCAGGCGGCGGGGCGGTGCTGCTGCCAATTTGGTCGATCGCATCGAAACTTCAAAAGGTCCTCCGGCTAAATAATTTCGGGAGGAGGCAGCATGGGCTCCACTGGGAAGTTGCGGACTGTGATCAGGGTGGGCGTATGGCCGGGCCTTGGCCTTTGGGCAGGTGCGCCGGCTGAGCGTTCGTTGTGGATAAAGCAAGGGGCTGCAGATGTTTCTGGAGGATAATAGCTGGCCAACTTGTCGTGCTTAATTGCTCTACCATATCTATCCGTTTATGGGATCCAAATATTCTTTCGTGTTTCAGGTTTTTTTTTAGTATGTAGTGTTTCGGTAGAATGTTAATGTGCTCAGTCAGTGACAACTTTTTTTTTTTGCGGGTCCGTCATTGATAACTTTGCGTCTTTGGCTATCAAGAAAATAAATCATTTGCTGGCATGGCGAGCCCAGTTGATCGTGATCAAGCGCAATGAGAAGAATCCTGATAAGCGTTGAAGCCTACGTTTCTGACCAGTTGGTTCCTTCAGAGTTTGACGACGGCAAGTGCATGCAATGCAATGTATCAACCCCTTTCAACACTTCCACTTTGGCGCTACAGACATCCCAGGCGTTGTGTTCTTCTCCGGACCTGTCGTCTGGAATTGACCAACGTAGCAGATTTTGCTGTGCCGTACGAGGACCAGGAGGTAAACACAGGTTGACTTGTCAGTACAGAGAACAACTTTGAATTGCATCTGCGCCAATGTCAACACTAGCTAGCTACGAGACATCCACGGGATGGTACCCAAGTCAAACAGACAGATGATGCAAAACTTTTGCCTCCGTTTCGAAAAGAAAAACAGATGATGCGCCTCCCACGTTCATCGCACTCATACCAAGGCCAACGCCCAGAAAACAGAAACCCGTCACAGATTGGCTTGTAAGAAATGGGGGTGGGCAAGACGCAAACGTTTGAGATCCAGCATCTAAATAAATTAGCAAAAGACTGCAACAAGTCCATGGTCATACTATGATAGCTAGCAAATCGTGAAAACATATATGTAAGCATGACTTACAGTGAATATTGAAACAACGATCATATTCCAAGATCCACTTCAGCGTTTCTTTTCCAACAGAAAGTTTCTTTTTCAAGAAGGCATTCTACACAGGTACATTAGTCCAATACCACTCTATGTAGATGATATGCGGCCATTTTTGCTCACAGTTATCTGCCATGTTCCACTGACTACACTGGGAACATACAAGCCATAACTCAAGTTTATAGCCTGAAAGATAAACTTGACAGGCTGTGGCTTGGATCAGGTCGCGGCAAGAATGGCCGCCAGATTGGTCTTCGAGTGCAGATGAATACGACACCTTTTAACCACGCTTTACTGGCCTCTGAACATAAGATTTGTTCGGGTCTTCAGTCTTGAGCCTTGGAGGTTTGAGCTCTCCTTTCCGTGCCTGTAGAAATGAAACTGTATGTCAAAAGAGTCATGGGTAACAAAAATACAACTTCTCAACTGCACTCTCTAACCTTCTTTCCTGTCTTCATGAAATCCCTCCAGCTAGAGACCTGCAAACCACAAAGACATGGTATCAGACATTGCCCGTGGCAACAACTCGACGAAGTCTTTCATTTTTCCCCGTGGCAACAACTTGTAGGTAACTATTTAAATAGCCACAAGCATAGTGTTCAGTTAGGATAAAATATTTCAATTTTCTACAAATGAACAGTAAGCTTACTCGCTGGTCTCTCGTCTCCTCCCACTTCTCTTCATGCTCTCTCTTCCTCTTCCACATTTCTTTTGTTTCCTCCTCGTCCTTCTTCAGTCTTCCTTCTTCCTCTGATATCTGCATAGTGCACATGAACAAAGCTCAAGTGAGTGGCTCAACTGATGATGTTTGAATATGTTAAAGCCTATTACTTACCCTCATCTGCATTTTCCTCCGACGCCATTCTTTGTCTGTCAAAATCTCACGAACTTTAATTATTAGCTGCTTCTGAAATTCGTCCGATCTTTCAAACTGCTCTTCATACTTTCCCTGCACATATAAGCAAGCCAATCAATGGAGGTTCTCAAGTGCTGAAGATATGAAGCTCAATAAGATGTTTCAAGGGTCTAGCAGAACAATCACCATTAAAAAAAATCGAGACAAGACTGCGAACAGGAAAACATCAGAACTGCAAGATTCTACATGATCATTGACATTAGCAAATGACTCATTTCATGGTATGGGAATCATCTTTTTTCTTCCGAAATGCTGTATTCTCAAGTATCTAAAATCCCATCATACGCATGCAATGACTTCTAAAATAATTATCATTCCATGCAGCCAACCAAGAAAGACAAACATGCATCACAGATCTGCGTAGTTATTAGAGAAATTGAAGCAAACAACAGGTCACCTCAATGGTGTACAAAGCAGCTAGTATATTTTGAGGACATCTTTCTCCAAGAAATTGTTTTTCACCAAATTGAAGAATAAATAAGTTCAAATCATAGAGTGCAACAGAATGAAGATCCGTTGTTTAAAAAGCTGAATCAGACCAGTGATTGAACTCGAAAGAAACCATAACCAGCAACTTCAATGGTTGGGTTTTCATTCAAGGACCATCTACATAACCTAGGGTGTGTTTGGTTGCAGTCATGGACCGGAATGTCACGGGTCCAACCCGTTCCTAGGCCTCGTTCTCGCGTTCAGTACACAGGTGGAACGGTCACCCCCTCGTTCCCACGGACCGAATATTCGGCCCAGATCCGGAACGGGGTGAGACCTCCAAACTGAGCGGACGACGCAGAACCACTCTTCTCCTCGCACTCCCGCAGCCCTATCGTCTCGTGCGGCTCCTCTCCCTCGTCTCTCCTCCCACGTTGGCGCCGCCGGCCCTCCTCCTTTCTCCGAAGCACGTGCGGCGGGCAAGCGGGTGCGTGGCGGTCTTGCGGCAGGGCAACAGCGGCGGCACATGCCGGGAAGCAACGGAGCAGCCGCTTAAAGAGCCGGCCGCTGACCGCGCCTGGGTTCGCGCCGTCGAGAGCCACGGTCGCGCGTGTGAAACGCCAAGGCCAAGCCACGCATCCAGCCGGCCGCCACGCTCAGCTGTCGTATTTTTTTCTTGTAGCTGCTGTTTATCCTGTGGTTGAGTCCGATTCTTGTAGCTCACACCCACATTCGTTGCATGGATGGATGGATTCGATTTGTTGATGTTCACACCCCTGTTCTGTAAATTAATTTTAATGGTTCTGGGGAAAATATGTGATAAGAATCAGAATTATATATATATATATAATCTGCATTTGGGAGATGCGTTTTGTTTCTTGCCTTCGTTGATCCTGATACTGGTTGCTGGTTTGAGTCTTTGTCCCTGTGAATCTTGGTTATCCGGTTCAGTTCAGCAAGGCAGACTGCAGTTGCAGGAACTGCTCGTCCAGAAAAGAAAAGTTAAATGTCGAATGACTTTATTTTACGTCAAACTTTGGCATGGAATTAACAGTCAAAATGTTTATCTGCCTTAGTTGCATGGATGGATGACCACTTACAAGTCCATTCCATTCCATCTACCAAACATCACAATGTAACCATTCCATTCCTTTGAATTACCCATACCAAAGAAAAGGACGGAACCGACCCATTATAGTGAAATCGAACCATGACATTCCATTACACTTCGTTCCCGAACCAAATACACCCCTAGTGAACCAGGCGGTTCTGGTGAAAACCCCATGAAACTGGGCATGCTTTAGAACCAGGAGGCGCTTGTTCCTGATACCTATGCCCAGTCCAATCAGCTCACATGCTCATGTGTGAATTTGGTTCTCTGAGCTAACCCTCCCAAGGCTGCCTCTACCAGTCTGCATTCCATCCAATATCAGCTCCCCTTTCTATTTGCTCTTCTACTTCCTCATCCATTTACCATTTCACCCTCTCTTGATATTTTTGCTTGCTCTTTCTCAAACAGAGCCCCAGCGTAAGAAGGGGCAGCTCAGTGTCACGAGGTCAATAGGTCACAGAGGTAGTGTCTTCACCATGAGAGCTCAGCGGCAATGGAATGCCTTATACTTTATACATGACTTGATAAACCCCAGCAGAATTAGCTTGATTTAATAGCTATTTGGGTACAATGCTAGACGCTAGTTATTAAATGAATAATAGAATCTGGTACCTAAACTTTGCACTTGGGTTAGATAATTCTTGGAGTTAGTTTGATTTTTGCAGGCAGCACTGGTTCCTTCATCTACAACTTTGGCGATATGTTTCTCTTTTCTTGAGGGGGTTGACGTTATAATTCTCAATTTCACGCTGCTGTACATAACATTGTAGAAGATATAATGCGTATGACTAATAAAATATTATATCTAGAGAACTGTTGGTCAGATGGTCAAACTGCTGCCTGTCCAGTGTTTAGAGCGCTGTGGAGATCAGCAGTCACCAATTAGGCTTGTTACTGACAAACACTGGTTAAGAGAATCTCTGATGAGTCTGGGGTTTGATTGCCAGATGACTTAAGTTTATTTAGACCATGAAACTAGTCCAAATTAGACCAGTTCATGTTGAGACATACTTCAGATTACTTTTCGCATTAATCTTTGTTTGAAACATGTTACTCTGAGCGAGAATTACTAAAAAGTCGATGACAACTGGCACAACCTTTCATGGGATTGTCTTACCTCATCTACTTGGGATTTTATCTTAGATGCACTGTCTTTCCTCAACTCTTTTTTCCTTTTTGCCCTCAGTTCTTCTGAAATTTCTCAACACAAAATAATATCAGTTTTTGTTCTTCATATCTCCTTCATTATAAATTGAACAAATCACTGAACTGATGTAAAAAAAATTACACTGGGTTAAAATAAGATTACATCACACACCTTTTGCAGAAGTGACTTGATCAAGAATGTACCCTCTTTCCTGTGGATCAAGTAGGAGCTGCTGTGCTTTTGCCAGGGCTGTTTATGAGTAGAGTAGGCAACGTTAAACAAATATACATCAATGCATAAACGACAAGAGATGCAGAAGAGTGTGACACTGGGAAAATAGTAAGTCACTGATGCGCAAAAGGTTGGTTAGTTATAACTAATTGCAAGAAGAGATCATGCAACACTTACTTATCCTGGTTTCTCTTGAAAAATGCATCCTCCTACAGGGATGAAAAAATGCCTAATTCTAGAGTGATACAAAGGCTACTGCCATCTCCAAGCAAAATTGTACAGATTCATCTTCTAAGCTGACTTATCCATGTTGTAATTTGCACTCCATTATCTGGACTTTTGGACTTGGTGTTGAGGCCAGTAAATTAAAAATTGTTCCAGCTTTTTTTCCTAGCATGTCATAATTTTGGTACATCCCTCTCTCCCAGAAAAATATATATAAAGTCATAAGAAACTATTAGTTTTGACATGTCATGATCTTGTTTATGCCATGTGCTGTCACCAAATAATATCTGTAAACCTGACCTAAATGAAGCCTACAACAACACAAGTGCAATACTGTCTCCTAACCTGATATTACTATGCATCACTATTACCATCTCATATGCTCCACATGGCAATGATTAGACAGTTCACATACCTCCAAAAGCTTCTTGTGCTTGTGGATGCTTGCACTTGTCAGGATGGACCAACAGTGACAACTAGAAAAGGTACATG